CTGTATGGGACAACTGCATATTCCTTCATCGCAGGAGCTCAGGGTCCCTTTCAACTCTGCAGTTCTAGGATTCTAAGATTCTAAGTCTTCCTCAGCCTGTTTTGGACTCCAAGTCCCATAAGTCCCAACACTGCTGTAGTCCAAAGCATAGAGAGGGCATCAGGCTGCTCTACAAGGTCACAGCCTCCCCACCACCACCACCATCCCAACCCTGCATTATAATGATATTGCTTTTCTTTATCGTTTACAGAGATGCACCATTCAGAGGCACAGACAAGCAGTTCTTAAATTCCGTTGATATCAGTGGAAAAGACAGCAAGACGCCAAAAGTGCTTAATGGTGTGCAGATTGTACATATTAATAACGCCGTTGGTGACATTAGACTATTTATTATTGTGTTCGTTGGTTCCCGCAAGTAAACATGGGGGGAGTGGAGTGCTGACAGATGTCCTCGGTAATTATTTTTCAATCTGGGTCCATTTCTTTCTTCCCTTGGGGGAGCCAACTATTCTCCCTCGGGCTTTTATAGGCGGCTATTGTGTTGAGAAAGGAGAACAGCACACCATGCAGTCATTACGATTTTTTTTTTGGAAGGATACACAGATACACACACACACACAATAGATGACAAGCAAAGGCAGCCCGTGACCCTTAAGTTGCACCCAGTCCTACAGGGTGAGCAGGAGCCAATTCTGGGTGGCAACATCCTAAATTTAGGGCCTAAATATTGCACTGCCACCACATCAAACTCCTCTTCCTGTGGAGACAAGGAGGTGGGCGGGGGGGGGGGGGGAGGTTGAGAATTTGCCTGCAGTTTCTCCTGGAAGTGAGAAATAATGTTTACATCCCAAAGCCTGTGCAATTGGCCAGAGGGGTTTTATAAGGTAAACCTGCAAGAATTATTGCTTGTAATCCTTTAACTGGTATGATGAATGCCTCTTGCAACATACTGTTTTCCTGGCATGTTATAATGCAGTGTTGACGCTTGTAATAAAATGTCAAAAAGATTAGTGTCTTGTATTTTAACACTTGAGAACCGCTCTCTGGCTGCAGAGAAGCCCTAAGATCCAAAATTAGTAGGTCAATAAATGGATGGGTCACCATGCCAAGTAAATTTGCACTTGTGGATCGCCATACCAAAAAAGTTGAGATCCACTAGCCTAGGTGACACATCCCTTCGTATTGGACTTGGCTATACAGCTGCAAGTAAAATGTTTTAAATGTGTTTTAAGTGCAATATACATTGCAACACTAGATAGCAATGGTGAGCCTTATGGAAAATTCAATGTATTTTTAAAAACACTTTTTTAAAAAAGCATTTTCAGAACATTTTTCATATGTGTGTAGATTCCACTTGTGTCTCCTACACTGCTCATCCTGACTTAATCCTGCTTTCTCTGCCACAGGCTGTGAGTCAAGGGATGCTATATTTGGCCGCCCTATTTATTTTGGTGATGGGGGGTGGGGTGGGCGGTGGACCCGAGAAATAAATCTGAAGAATGTGTGGGATTAACTTGCCACCTTTTCGTCCCCACCTCCCTTCCTGCAGCGGTTGATTCTTCCACAGCCCAAGACCTGTAGTATAAACATTGCAGTGACTTAGATAAACATGCACTTAATGATGCAAAACGCTAACAGGGGAGATAAGGGTCATTAGCTGCAAGCAGAAACTGGAAATAAAATTGGGGTGGGGAAGGGGAGATGAGACGGGTGGGCACGAGAAAGAGCGTTTCTCCTCCCTCTCTTCTGCCATAAAATCAGCTCCTAGTTGCACTTCTGGAACTCTCTGGCTATAAGGCAGCTGGCCCCAGGAGACTGGAATTAAACCCTGTATTCGGGAGGAAAAGTTTCAGATAACACTAAAAATAAAAATAAAAACTCAAAGAAACTCCAGACACGCAGCAAATGTTTATAGCCACAGCCCTATTATTTGGCAAGATGTCCCATTGGGGGAGAGCGAGATTTACTTCTGAGAAATCAGGCAAAGGATTGTTCTAAGCAAGTTACTCAGGATAAAACCTTCCTGCTTGGAATAGAGTTTACTCCCAAGTAAATGCCCTGTACTGGTCTTGAAAACTTTCCCCCCTTTCATTTTGAAAGCTTTAAAGTGAAGTGCCTGAATTTAAATAATAGAAGAATACAGATGCAACCCCTTGCAGGCTTATGTAGGAATGAGATCCACTGAGTGGAGTAGGACATTTGAGTAGAATTTGCAAACTGGCAAATGTAAACAAACACAGATATACTCCACCCCTGCCTTTTCCACATGGAAAGCATTGATCAGATACATGGTTTGGTTCAGTAAAGACTCCCAAGAGACCTCAGGATTATACTGGGTGAAAACTAGAATCCACTTACAAACCTTGTTGGGAGTCGTAGGATTCATAGATACTGGTGAGTTCAGTGGGAGTTCCTCCCAAGTCAGGGTTTGTGGGCTTAACAAGAGGGGGCTGGAGGGTTTAAGCTTCAACTCACTCGCTTCAAAGCAAGTCCCACTGAATCCAACAGCATTAGGATCACCCGGCGAACCACCACATTGGTGATTTAAAAGCCGGTTGTGCCATTTTGAAAGCTCAATACGGAGGCGAAAAGACCTTCCAAATTACAAAAAAGCAAAACGCCAACACATACATATTGAGTTATTAATATCAGGGCAGCTCAATCTCCTCTGAGAAAGCAACTTGAGGACAAGGCTAATTTCCCTGAGTCAGAAACTCCACCCCACTTAAAGGACAGGAGGCTCTTTACGCATGCTCTTCTGCTTTTGGTGAGGCATAAAGTTTGACAGAATTGCAGTCTTTATGCCTCTTTTCTGTTTGTTTGTTTGTTTGTTTGTTTGTTTGTTTGTTTGTTTGTTTGTTTATTAAAAATCTGGCCTTCCTTGGGCCACAGTCCATGGCTTGGGGAGGTCTCCTGTGCACCACTGAAATTGCTTTGTGCAGTTCGCTCATTCATTGCAAACTAGACTTGCACATTGGCAATGTAGATTTAGGGGTTGCATCCACAGCTGAGCCAAATCACATGGACAGAGTCCACCAAAATATGAGGAGGAAGAAGAGTTTGGATTTGATATCCCGCTTTATTACTACCCTAAGGAGTCTCAAAGCGGCTAACATTCTCCTTTCCCTTCCTCCCCCACAACAAACACTCTGTGAGGTGAGTGGGGCTGAGAGACTTCAGAGAAGTGTGACTGGCCCAAGGTCACCCAGCAGCTGCATGTGGAGGAGCAAGGAAGCGAACCCGGTTCCCCAGATTACGAGACTACCGTTCTTAACCACTACACCACACTGGAAGGACCATGGCTCAGAGGTAGAGCATCTGCTTTGCATGTTAAAACCCTAGCTGCAATTTTTGGCATCCCCGAGGAGGGAGGGAACTAGCCCTGCCTGAAACCATGAAGAGTCTCCCCCAGTCCGTGTGGGCAGTGCTGAGCTAGATGGGCAAATAGTTTCATTTTGTACACGGCAGCTTTCTACCTTCCTAAAATTAAGCCCATCCAAGGCACAATATCTTGGGAGCAAATCTCCACTAAAATCCAGTGGGAACTGCAGCTTCCTCTACTGTGTCCTTAGCTAGGCATACATGCCATAGTATAATACCCTCCAACATTTCTCCAATAAAAATAGGGATGCTCTATATAATAATAAAGGGACGCGGGTGGCGCTGTGGGTTAAACCACAGAGCCTAGGACTTGCCAATGAGAAGGTCGGCGGTTCGAATCCCCGCGATGGGGTGAGCTCCCATTGCTCAGTCCCTGTTCCTGCTAATCTAGCAGTTCAAAAGCACGTCTAAGTGCAAGTAGATAAATAGGTACCACTCCAGCGGGAAGGTAAACGGCGTTTCCGTGCACTGCTCTGGTTCACCAGAAGCGGCTTCGTCATGCTGGCCACATGACCCGGAAGCTGTACACCGGCTCCCTTGGCCAATAAAGCGAGATGAGAGCCGCAACCTCAGAGGTGGTCACGACTGGACCTAATGGTCAGGGGTCTCTTTACCTTTAAATAAATAAATAATAATAATAATAATAATAATAATAATTACTATTTATGCCCCATCCCTCTTGAATGTGTTTCCCCAGCCACTCTGGGTAGTTTCCAACATATATAAAAACTTCCTTATATAGGGCTGCCTTCAGATGGCTTGAGGAGTTGGATGATTCCATACTCTCTGACATTTCTCTGTTGAAAATAGGGACATCCTACCAAACGTTCCAACATTTTTACAATGAAAATAGGGGCATCCTAAGGAAAAGCGGGACATTCCGGAATCAAATCAGAAACCGGGACAGCTTCTGTAAGTGTAGGGCTGTCCCTGGAAAATAGGGACATCTGGAGGGTCTGCAGTATAAAATCATAGATTTGTAACAAAGAATTGTAGAGTTATTCCAGAATACTTTCTTCCCACTCTCCAGAGTAAACGTGAAGAGAAGGGCAGCCTTATTTCTGAGTAAGTTTGAAAAGGTATTTGTTAGAGAGTAGATCCCACTAGGCCTTATTCCATAAATAAACATGCTTACATTCCTGCTAATTGATCCACTGGTTTCAATGGGTTCCATCCAAGCCTACAGGTCACCCTCTCCCACTGAGATCAGGGGGGATGTGATGAAAGTGCTTAGCTGAACTGCCTTCTCCATTTTTCACACACTTCCCATTGAATGTTTATTCTCTCTAACGATGAATGCTTTCTAAACACAGGACAGGGCCCCTAAATTATTTTAAAGCAAGGGGGAGAGGGGACAGTCGGAAGTCAACAGCCTTGGTGGACAGGACCATTTGCCTCAGAGAAAGAATCGAGTTTGAATTGGGTTTTAACAACTTTTCTCTCCCTCCCAAAGGCCTTCACTGAAAGGCTAAGGGGGAGTAAACAGATTAAAAACCCCAACTTCAGAAGTAACCTTCAGGCCTTGATAGACTAGCAGGGAAGGGAGGTGTGTTTGCGAAGATATAGGCTACCTGTTAATCTATTTATAAAGAAATAAAAATATTAGACTTTTATGTTTTCAGTCTTCTTATCATGATTTAATTTAGACTTCTTTGGGTACAAGAAACCTGGAAAGAAAAAGCACATGCTACTATTGGTAACAAAAATCAAATTGCCACTTTGATTTTTATTTCCCCCCCTGTATATTTTTGCAAGCCAAACTAGGAGGTGAGGTGGGAAGGAGGTAAAGTTGAGACAGACAGAAAGAAAACCTATAAAAAGAACGTGGGTTATGGTAGATATATGTCTGGGTAAAATTGTTCCTATTTTTGTCGTCGCTGTGTTTTGTTGGGTTTTGTGTTGTTGCTGTTGTTGTTTTTTAAAAAAGAGTCACATGGATTAATTGCCTAAATTCACCACAAACGTAAAAATGACTGACATGAGTGTACCGTCACACTTAAAATTTACTCTAACGTAAAAAGGCCTCACACGATCTGCGTTAAGACATAGGCACTTACATTCTTCACCTAATACTGCATCATCATCAACTTTTCAGTTTTTAAGCTACTTCAAAATCTTTTTCAGAACGCTACATCTGACCAAGAAGAAAAATGTAAACTTAAATTTGCCCTCGCCAGATCTCCAAACTTTCAAAACAAAAGTTTTAGGATACACTACTCCTCTTTCAACCCCCCCAACCCCCGCTTTCATATTTCCTAAGAATTCAAAGCCAGGACAACAACCTCACTACTGCCTATGGAGACAGCCCAAGACACACTTAGTAGAAAGTAAAGGCTGAAGAATTATGCAGTCTTAGGGCTGGGGGGTGGGGTAAGCCCCATTTAAATGACTTCTGAGTAAATATGAACAGGATTGTTCTGCCAGTCCCACTGACTTTAGGAGGACTTAATTTCCGAGCGAAGACGCTTCCCAGTTCCTGCTTAAAATATCCCCCCCCCCCCACTATAATAGTGTACAGGAAAGGGAACAGACAAGATCCAGCCAAAAAAACCAAGCACTTTATATAAAGCTCAACACTCATATTTAAAAACTTAAACGCTTGATTTCGCTGGGTGATGCCCACCAACGTTTTAAATAAAAGAATTCATTTGTAATTCTGGCTGACAAGCATATATATATATATATGAGACACAAATGGAGGGGGGCAAAGGGGTGTGCCTGTTGTGTGTGTTGGGGGGGTGTTGTTTTGTTTATAGCATGCCCATGGGTGTGTGCTATCTCTGTTTGGCTTCCGCTAAGACATAATGACAAGGATGTCAGGAGGAGAGCTGGATAAATGAGAAGTGGAGACAGGCCTTTGTGGGGGTCAGAGAAGGGCTTCGGAAGAGATCTTTAGAAGTCACTTAAGAATCGCCAGGTGAGCTCTCGGGAAACAAAACAAAAACTGAGTGGGTTGGGCAATGGGAGCAGGAAGGAAAAATAATTCATGACAATGTCCCCTTATTTACAAACCACTGGGGGGTGGCGGCGGTGGGAGAAACCCCCATCTCTGTTTCTCCGGATTATGAACCTAAGTCCACCAAGCTGGAGGTGAGAGGGCCTAAGAGAGAGTCCTGCAGTTGGTGCTGGTGGGCTTGGAGGCCGTGAGTCGCCTGGGAGGCGGACAAGCCCGTCAAGGAATAGGTGGAGTTTCTGGCATGGCTGAGGCTGCCCTGGAGCAGGAGGATTGAGTTCTGATCCGGACTCTGTGGGGGCGAAAACTCCTCTTCCGAGCTGGACATGAGCGGCTTCGCCCCGTCCAGGGGAGACAGCTGGTTCTGTTTGTTCGTGGAAGTGTTGTTGTTCTCCGTATTCTCCCTGGGAAAAAGAGAGGCAGAGAAATGAGAAACTGGTCATAGACCAAGCTGGTTGCAAAAGCAAGGGCCAAGGAGGGGAGGGAATGAATGTCCCATCAGCCGAAATTGGCAGAAATGCAATTGCGCAAGGGGAAAACTCTACCGAAAGTTCACTGTCACTCGCTCAAGCCACCAGCGGTTTTAAAGTCCTGGTGCTGGAAGTAAGCTTCTCTGATGGTACTTACTCTCAAGTAAGCCACGTAGTGGAATCACAGTGTGTGGGGAGGAGAGCTCTGGATGCTAAACACCATTTATATAGCCATTCTACACAGCAAAAGGAGGTTTTGGGCAGCACATATTTCAGTATGGTGTTTCTCAGCAGATATAAATCGGGTTGAAATTTCGCTAGGCTTATTTTCAAGGAAACTGTACAATAGAATCTGTTTGTCATGGTGCACTCCCAGATCCCACCGCTCATCTATTCAGAATTAAGCGCCCACCCTGCTGTGTTCAATGGGGCCTAAGGAACTATGCACAATATCCCTTCTTTTTAAGGCTGCTCTGTTGAACACTTTGCCTTGGAAGTCCCACTGAAATCAGTAGATCTAACTTCCATGAATGCTGAGGGTTAGAAGGGCAAAAACTGAAAATTCGTTGACTTTTGTTTTCTGGGGGAAAGTCAGATATTTGTCTTGAGTACCAAGGCAGTCCTTCTGTCAGGTTAAATAACCCCTTTAAGATCTTAAAAAAGATTTAGATTAATGGGACTCGTTTCCAAAGGAGAATGTTGTACAATCAGAGTATAACAGAAGTCAGAGAAAAGGTGAGGGAAACTTCCAGAAATTTCTGTTTTGTCGTGTTTTGAAATCGGTTGAGGAAAACACACAATTTATTCTCCTTTTATCTTGCAAACCACCTTGTTTTTGCCCTTCAAGGCAGCCTAAAAGCTATTTTAAATAAAGTATGCTTGGCCTTTTTTTAAAAAAAGCAACTTTTTTTTTTACAAATGTGAAAAAAGACAGGATAGGTCCAAGATCAGGTTGAAGCCAAAGTGTGAGAGATTAAGACTGGATTATCAGAGTTGAGAAAAGCAACTGCTTTAATAGTTGGCTGGCTCATGCCCTAAATAACTTCAAAGAAAGGGTTTTTAAAAACCACACATAGAACCCTAAAAGCTACCTTAATTTCACATTAGCTCAGAAGATGGACAATACTGTCCTGAGCTCCTAACATTTTCTGTAATAAATCTCCCCCACTCACCCTCGAGAAGCAAAAAGCATTTTCTTTCCAAGGGGGTGAATGCTAGAATCAGGATTTCTTAACTTGGTGGAACTTAGCCAGAAAGAGTGAAAGTTGTCCCCTTCCCTATAAAAATATATAATTTTGTCTGAGTCACTGTTTCTCTCCCCACGCTCTCCCTGCATACATAGAAAACGAAAAGGAAAAAACACCAATCTTTTCTGCGTGGTAGGCCGATACAGACAACCAGGCAATCCCCGGATCGTCTGCAATGGAGACAGCAGAACACGGTCGCCTCTACATAAATGCAAACACGCAACCTTTTCCTTGCACTCTGGTGGGGGGAACGGAAGAAGCGAAAGCTGCGTCTGTCGCCCGTAGCAATTGCGGCTTCGTTGCCAAACAAGGGGAGGTAATAACTGCAGTTTAATATAGCGCACATTTCTATCCGATCTAAGCACCAGAAAACCTGTTGTTTCACTCCTGGTAAAGGGGCATCTATTGCCCCCTTAGAGGTGATCTAGCGGAGCAGCTTTGCTTGGAAGTAAAGTAAGACCCGTGGCGAGTACTGCGCACGGAGATTTCTCTCCTGCGGGCAGCTCCGTTGAGATGGGGGCGGGGCAGCTTAAAAGGCGACCTTCCTGCGCCTCCCTTCTTTCTGCGCGGGTCCCCTGAACAGCGACTTTCGCTGGAGTCGAAAGTCTGCCTCTCTCTGCGAGGAACAAGCGATCGCGCCTAAGGCAAGTGCGCATTCACACAACCTAGGTCAAACACGCGAGTCTCGGGCGGAGTAGAACGGCCAGACAAAAATTGGCATGGGGGGAGGGCATTTCTCAGGAAGCCTTTCTGAACCCCAGATAGTCCTACTCGCCACTGAAGCTTGTCGGTGGTTTCTGCTTCCACGCAGGGTGCGCGTTGGGGATCTGGGTACAAAATCCCGATTATCAACAGCACGCTGTAAAAAATAAATAAATCCATGGGACTGAATTTCAAAAAGGGTGTTTAAAAATCGGAGTAATGATCCCCACTGATTTCAGGCTGATGGGTCCACAGCTGAGCCCCTAAATACATTTGCTTGAAGGCAAATCGTATCTCGGTGGTTCTCTTAACATCTCCGACTTCATACTCCTTTGGCTATACAGTATTACACAGTCACACAATCTGTGAATTATAAATTGTTCCCTCTTTCAGGGGATGTTTATGGCTGCAGTGAGAATTGCAAATCAATTTCCGTTATTAGGAGAGTGGAATCTCAGGGCATTAGTTAATCCGGATTAAGAAACGGAGTGGATCGGGATTGAACGGTTTGTATTTACAGCCAAGAAAAGGTATTGAGAACCTTCCCTACCGGATGGGTAAAAACAAGGGTGTGAGAAATTAGAATTTAAGTGAGCAGTGAGCAGGCGGGGGCGCGCGCACATTCCTTGCATTCACACGACCAAGAGCTCACGGAAAGATATTTACAGATCTAGGCAGACCAGAAGCTCAAGCCTAACCACGTCTACTCAGAAGTAAAACCCGTTGAATCCAGTGGGTTTTACTCCCTAGTAAATGCGGTGAAGGTTGCAATGAGTATGGAGTGAATCTCTCCCGCAGCAATCAGGGGATCTCCAAAGAGTTTTCTTAGTGTGGATCGTGCCTACGGCCTCAGGTGGAGGAAGAAACCCCAAATAATGGTGTGTGTGCGCGCGCGCATGTGTGTGTTTTACAATTCTCTGAAGAGTGGTTCATATTTTAATAATGGCTTCATCGTTGCAGCTGCCACGTTTTTGGCCTCCTATTTAGACAGCTGCAGCCGGAACATCTCAGCCGAAGTGATGTCAGTGTTAGCTTAGGTGAAGGAGACGCGTCCACGTCGCGGCGTCGAAAAATAAAATGCATTTGGAAAAGCTGTGTCTCTGCACAGCCGCTTCCAGCAGCACAACCCTCTAAATGTTTAGGATGGAAGCTAAAAATAATAAATAACCGCCGAGGACCTTCGCTCTTTTGGAAAACGGAGCTTTCAACTCTGGAATGCTCAGGATGCGGGGGAAACAGCCGCAGAAAAGAAAAAAAAAACCATTTCAATGCAGTTTCGCAAGCGACGCGTTAAACCGGTTTGGGCCTTTCCCCGGGAACCTAAACCGAGCCACAAGGTTCAGTTCGGCTTTTTGATAATAAATAAATAAAATGGTTGCTCTTCCCTCCCCACAATATTCACAAGCGTGCACAAACAGAGAGAGCAAAAGATGGGAGTTTTTGCAACATCAGGCGTCAAAAAAGTATTTGCCAAAGTGTAAATACCGAAAGATTAAGGCTAATTGATTTATTATAACGAAAGCTATTAAACTAGTGTCAGGTATTATTATTATTTTAAAAGTATCCCTCCAGCTTTCTAGCCTACATTCACACGTTACGCCTTCCCCGGAAAAGAAGAGGTCGGGCGTGCCTGCGGAGATCCCCTCTGCTTACCCAAACCTCGGAGTCCCCTCGAGCTAACTCCCAAGCGCGTGGATCAGATGCTCGGTTTTTATTCCTTTTAAAACCTTTCTGTGCTGTTCAGATGACGTTTACTCGAGGGGAAATGCCCCGATCCATGCCAAGTTTAATCAGAATCCGGGGGGGGGGGGGAGTTGTCCCAGCAATTGACCAGTAGGCAAGGAAGTGGACGTAGCTTCTTCTCTGAGCGCAGAAAAAACTCTAACCGTTAAAAAAATGAAGTGGAACACATAAAGATCAACGCAGCTCCTTACTTATATTATTATTGTATATGTATTTATTATATCCTGAACTCTTAATGGGTGAATCTTCTCCGATAGGCACCAGTTTGCTTGCTTGCTTGCTTGTTTATTTAATTGCATGCGAGTCCAGAAAAATCTGGGGAAAGTGACGTTTTTATATACGTTATTATGTTTTTATATACGCTGGAAGCTGCCCAGAGTGGCTGGGGCAACCGAGTCAGACTGGCGGGGTACAAATATCATCATCATCATCATCATCTAGTTCCATCTCCAGAGCGAAGCAGGACCAACAGCAGGCTAGGAACGAGTCTCTCTCTGGATGCGCTGTTTGTGCCAAATGACCCATCACTAACCAATGCACATTTACTTTGGGGGGGGGGTGAGGAGGCATCATTTACCCACCCCCCCATCCAGCCAGTAAAGAAGGCAAACTAACAAGAGAGATGGGGCAGGGGTGGGGATGAATACAGTACTGTATGTGTATACTGTATATGTCACGTCCATGTATTCAAGATCTGATGGACAGGAAAGGCGCTGGGTCTCCTCGACCCCTTCCTTTCCCTCCCCTCTCAAGGCACTAACTTGTTACCGGCAGAGTAACATTAAGCCCAGGAGATAACCGGGTCTCACAGATCTCCGGTTTCCCTCCCCTCTCTCCCTCTTCCGGGGTCCGGTTTGCAACAAATAATAATTAAAAAAAAAAAAGCCTCAGCAGCTGAAACCAGAGTCTGCGCCAATTCGTCCCAACTTCACAACAGAGGAGCCGCCAAGTTGGACACTCGGCCCCGCGGCTCCACCGGGATGGCCGATCCATTGCTCGGCAACCTTTTCTTTGCATTGCAAGCGCGCCCGGCCAAAAGTATCCTGGGAACTATAGCTTAAGGGTGCTGGGAATTGTAGCTCTGCGGGGGTAAAGTACAGCTCCCGGGATTCTTTGAATGCATGGGGTGGGGGGCGGGGAGGAAGCTTGGGTTGTTATCCTTCGGCAATTTAGATTGTGACCTCTTGGGGCACGCATTTATTTCCCCCTCCTTCCCCTTCCGCCCCCGTTATTTTTGATGCTGCTAAAAACCTATATAAAACAGAACCGCCTTTGAGGCCGGCATCCCACTCCGCCGCGTAAAACCGGGTGGGAATAAGTTCCCCCGGACTTGGATAATGCATGAATTATTGTGATACTAGGGGCTCATTTCTGCACCTACTGCCGAGTTTTGTGTGGGGAGGATCTGGGAGTCATCAATGGGACTGACACCCTAATCCTAAACACATGTAAACCTTCCTAAAGTCAAGTACGTCAATTTAAGCGGGGTGTGGCTGGGGTTGCAAGGAAGATAAACGACTCCCTATAACCTCACCCATCCAGCTCCTTTGATTAACCCCCTCGCGGTCTGCTAGGAGTGGGGGAAGTCTGCCCACAGCCTCCTGCATCACGGGGGGGGGGAGCTTTGGAGACTGCTCCATCAAGCCTATGCGTGCTTACTCGGAAGTTAAGCCCCACTGCATTCAATGGGGCTTACTCCCAGGTAAGGGACTGCAACCCCCAAGGCTAATCTGTGGGGAAAACTGAGGTTAGAGTTCATCCTAATTCCATGATTTATCTTTTCAACTTGGTTATTATTATTATAGTGTGTTGAGGATTGCAGCCTTTGTGTGCGTATCTAAAAGCATGCGGGCTAGCTGAGTTGACCTCCTGTCTAACCTATTGCTGGCCATTTTATATTTTTTTTAAAAATCACAAGCACACTGTTCTCGGATGCACACTAACTCAGGAGTAAGCAAAGCCAAGAACATTGAGACCTACTTTTGCTCAAACAGGCTTAGGAGACTCAAGCTGCAAAGTCCTCTTCCGGCTTCCCCTATCACCCTTCTCACCTCTTTGACCTCCAGTACTTTAAATTTTATTTTTTTATTTTATTTTTATTCTTTTTTTAAAAACCAACTCCAAAAGGGAAGTGGTGGCTCGTGGACTCACCAGGGAGCTAGCTTGGGTTTTCAAACAGTGCCAAACTGAGACACAACACTCCAGTCTGGAGACTTCTGAGCCCACAATAAACCCAGCGGAACCATAAACAAGAGAGGGTGTTATTCCTGGTCACTTTTATTTCCTTTGCTCATATGCCTCATCCTGCTGCAGCTTGGGAGATGTATCTAATAGGAAGGGGGCTTTTTCTGGAATGGGGGGGGGGAGAGGATTAAAGGGGAGAGTGGAAGTATTACTGGGCACCAAAAGAATCAGGATAGCTTCTATCAAGTACAGGGAACTCTGGACTAGCCCCAGGAGAGGAAAGGAAATGGGGAACAGAGGTGCAAATGGAACCTTTTGCAAGGTGTGCTGGTCTGGTTAGTGGGCTTCAGTCCACAGAAGTTTCTGCCCTGACAAATGTGTAGTCTTTTAAGGTGACAAAAGACTCTGATTTGTTTTCCTGCAAGAGACGGACGCAGCTGCCACTCTGGAAATCTTGGCCTTCCAGTTACCTTGTCCTTTCAATATATATATATATTTGCATAACCCCCTTAGGCCAAGCAGGACTGCAGTGACGTTTATTTGTGCTGAGCGCCAGAAACTGTAACAACTCCACATCAGGAAAATGCCGCAAAGGGTGTGATTATTTTCATTCTCCTCCCTCAGGACATAATAGGAGGAAGGAGAAGTTTGGAAGCAACAATCAAGGGAAGGAGTTGAAGAGGTTTTGAGAAGGCCCTCTTTCACCAAGACACGGCCTTTCTATGGGATACCTGTTAGTACTCTTGACTAACAGGTATTTAACATGACACAGTAGGCTGTGCGCAGATTTCAGAAGCGAGTAAGAGCCCCTAGGGACACGATCCAGGCCCATCTGAGCCCTGAAGGCCCAATGAGTTTCACGGTCAGGGTGGCATGATGCAATCCTAACAATGTCCATTCAGAAGCAAGTCCCACTGAACTCAATGGGATTACTCCCAGGTAAAGCAGGGTTTAACATTCCTGTCTTAACCGTGTCACTAGGAACCTCCTCCTAGGCATGTCTATTGAGAGACAAGTACTTTAGGCGAGGGTATTATTATTCCAGGTAATACCATTGCAGCCTAAAAATCAATGGGGATGGTAAACTGTATCGGCAAGTTTTTGATGTTTTGCTATGTTGTTATATGTACTGTAGGCCGCCCAGAGTGGCTGGGGAATCCCAGCCAGATGGGTAGGGGTATAAATAATAAAATCATTGCTGTTATTATTATAAACGCTAGGAATGATCATTTGGCATAGTTGGTAATGAATACAGGATACCATCCAGCCAAAGTTAAGATTTCCTATATAAATCACCATAAATTTAGGCTCCAACGATATATCCAACATACCTGGGGGGGGGGGGTGTTTAAGGCCCCATAAACCCAAACGAGACTGACTTCTGAATAGACATGTATAAGGCTGCGATGCAAAAGTGCCTACCTGTGGCTGAATCCTACCTTACGTTATCTTATGGATAATTCCGGATACTTATGGATAATTCCGGATAGCGGGAGCCTACACGTGCTTACTCGGATGCAAGTCTCAGCGCGTTTAGCTGGGCTTGCTCTCTGTCTGTACGTCTGCCCGTCTCTCTGGAGGTCTCTCTCTCACACCCACACACCCCACACACCCCAGATAAAATTTGGTCGCCCTCTCCGCTCCTCCGACTTGCAAAACAGCAGCACCCACCTCTCTTTCGCCTCCGCCGCTCGGTCGCGCTGCCTGCGGTTTTTGAACCAGTTGCTGACCTGGGTGGTGGTGAGGCCGGTGGCTTCGGCCAGCTCCCTCTTCTCCCGGGGCGAGGGGTAAGGGTTGTGGGCGTACCACTCGCGCAGGACGCCCCGGGACTTCTCCTTGAAGCAGTAGCTGGTCTCCTCGCCGTCCCAGATGGTCCTGGGCAAGGGGAATTTCCTCCGCACGCGGTACTTGCCCACGGCGCCCAGCGGCCGGCCGCGCAGCTTCTCGGCTTCCACGTAGTGGGCCTTGAGCCACAACTGCTGCAGCTTGGGGTGGTTGTGCGGAGAGAACTGGTGGCTCTCGAGGATCTTGTACAGCTCGCGGAAGTTGCCCCGGTGGAAAGCCACCACCGCCTTGGCTTTCAGCACGCTCTCGTTCTTGTGCAAGTGGTCGCAGGCGGGCAGCGACCACAGGAAGCGGCCCAGCCTCTCCAAGTTGCCGCCTTGCTGGAGCACCTCGCAGACGCACGCCACTTGCTCCTGCGTGAAGCCGAAAGACGGCAGCATGGACATGGCGACGGGGGCGCCGAGCCGCCGACGGGGCGCCCGCCACCCGGCGCTCGCTTAGCTGGCCGGAACCGGCAGAAGGACCGGCGGGGCGGTGGGGTGGGGGGAGAGAGGAAAAAGCAGCGCTGGGCGCCGCCCCCCTCCCCACACAGGCAGAAGAAGGGGAGGCGCGCAGAGACTCACCCCCAGGCGCAAACTCCAAAAAGACCCTTGGCGAATCCAAGCGGAGAGGCAAAAGCGCCCCCGACAAAACCCAGCAAGCGAGGCGCAAAGGAACTGGATGCTCCGGCGCTGTCGCTGCAGGCGCAGGAAACTTTTGGGTCGGGATCTCCGACGGCAGCCGAGCTGAAAGCCGCCCCGTCGTCCTCCGGGCTCCCTTGGATTGGATGTTTGCAGCGCCCTATAGGAACGCGCGTCCAGCAAAGCAGCAGCTGCGCCCGGGAGAGGGAGAGCGAGAGCGCGCGCCGCCCAGGACGCAGCAGAAAAAAGCAGCCAAGGGAAGGCGCGGCCCGGCGCGGCTCCGGCCTGGTTGGTTGGTGCGCGAGCGAGTTAGAGAGAGAGAGAGCGGGCGCTGGCGACGGGGGCTTGGCAAGGTCCGCTTCGCTGTGGCTCTGGCTGCAGCCGAGGGGCCGACTGAGCGGCGAAGAAAGGCGAAGGAGACAGATAGGGCGGCTCTTGGTCTCTCGCTCTCTCCTCCTCCTCCTCCTCCCTCCAGAGGGGAGACACGTCAGGACCCTGCAATTCGAGCTGCTTCTCAAGTGTCACCTAAGGGGAACTAAACTCTGTGCAAATCAATTATTGCAGACTCTCTTTTTTTTAGAAGAAAAAAGAAAAAGACAGCCACCCATACCCAGCCCAGCTCTCTCCCCCTTCCTCTGCGGGCCCATCTCTCCTCTAGCTAGCCAGCCAGCCAGCCAGCCAGCCAGTAAGCAAACCTCCTCTCCCTTCGTCCCCCCCCCCGCCTTTTTTTTCAGACCTGCTCATTCCCGGTGAGCTCATATTTAATTACCTTAATGTTGAGAATGAATAAATGATGCCCCTGATGAATAGCTTATGGCGCGCGATAAATAATGAAAGGAGCGCCATAACTATGTCTTAAGAGGCTAGGGAGGCAAGGTGGGCATCTTATTGTTATTTATTCTTTCATTCATTCATTTATTAATCATCACCCTCCTCGGAAATACATATTACTATTTATTTATTTTTTGCATTCAAAGAGGTGAAGCTTAAAAGCGATGCCTTTGGGCTGCCACCAGGAGTTGTGTTGCAGAAGGCCTCTCTCTGCGTGTAAATTGGTGGGAATTCGAATTATGCCAGGAGCGGACGCGGGAGCGCGCAAGAGCGCGTATTCCAATTACATCACGAAAAGCGATGCCCCTGCGGTCAATACAGCCTCCAAACGTAAGGTGATAGAAAGGGCACCCTGTCGACGTTAAGTAATAGGTACTGGAATCGAACCAGCACATATTTCGCCTGTGCAGACGGAGTTAGGCCTATTTAAAATCCGCGATCCGCTCTGGAACGAACGGTACCGGGTTGAAACACTCCTTGCAGCGCGGCCTCAGCAAGATGACTCTGGAGTAAGCGTCTCCGGCCCTCTTGCAATCTGACCTGATCGCCGCGTAATTGCGCATCCTGTCCTGGAAGTCAGGCGCGCTGAACGGAGCGCAGGTTATTTCCGAGTAAACTGAAAAGCAGTTGTTGTTTTTCCCCCTAATGAAGCTGCTGTCCTCGGCATATTAATCAGGGACGTGGACCCCCATCCATCGAGAGCTGGCCCTCCTAGTAAAAACGCCAATTATTCTGCCCGATTCTGTGGATGGTGACTCGGAACAGCTGTCACTTGAATTCAATGGGGCTCGCGACCAACTTAGTATGTTGTGGGGAGCTGGCGCAACCCTAGTCGGGGTTGCGGGTGGTGTCAGAATTGTCTTACCGTATTTTCTGCACTGCGCGTAGCCACCCGCGCCCTCCCTTGGATTCTGCTAATCCTCATTTTGGTTCAAAAAGCAATTAGGAGGTTCCTCCTGGAGGAGGAAGATGATTTGGGGAAGGGAGGGAGAAACAATTAGAGCCTCTCCAAACAAAGGTAATCCATTGTCAGTAGCAAGGGCAGGGCTAGAGATAAGGACAATGAGGGCGAGATAAGCGCAGCAGCAGCGCTGCCGAAAAGGACGGAACGAAGAGCCTTTTATGAGCTGTACTTATCTTGGAGGCGATAAGTGACCAACAGCGGCGCTTACGAGGGGAGAACGCTTTTTGAGGTGCATCTGGTCCCCATAAAACAACACCAGAAGGACTGAAGACCGGTGAGGGCCCGGGTAGTCAACGGGGTGCCCTCCAGGTGCGGTTGAACTACAACTCCCATCTGCCTCAGTTTGGCCGGTGGTCGTGGATAACGGGAGTTATAGCCCGTCAATTTATGGAGGGCGCCGCGTTGGGTACCGCTGGGTTAGGAGAAGGTAATGTCAGAGCATCTCAATGTCAGAACATCTGCCTTGCATGCGGGTGCAGCTCCAAGGAAGGCTGGGAGTGACTCCTGGACTCCCCAAAACCTGATGACGCACTATAAGGCCGTCCTACGTTCCCACGTTCAGAGGGATAATGGTGTTAGTCGGATGCTGCAGCAAAAAGTAGGGGGAATGGGGACTTGCTTCGAAATCAGGGTCCTTAAGCATGGCAGGTGGTCGCCCCACACCCCTATCACGCGTCTGTTTGGATCCCACATCTTTGTATTTAGAAGCAAAGTCCGGTAGATGTCAGCCGTCCAATTTATTCCCAACTCGGAACGTGGGGAGCTGTCTCTTGCAGAGTCAGGCCACTGACTTCTGCGTCCAGATCTGTGTCGTCTACATGGACTGGCGGCGGTCCATTGTCTCGAGTAGGGGGTCTCAGGCAGATGCTCTGCCACGGGGCTACGACCCTTCCCCAACTGCGAATAATAGTAATAATGCTTTAGCATTTGTATCGCGCTTTTTACTATTTAGGATGCTTCGCGGGCATAGTTCCAGCGACCCCTCCATCAATACCCCCTTGTTATATTGACCTCCCCCCCCTTTGTGGTTTGTTTATTTTTTCCTTCCGCGGGGTTTCAGCTTCAACGTACAGGCGCAATCCTGTGAAAGCTGGTTGGGACTTAAAGCTCCCCGGTGCGTGTATAGGATCGCACATTTGGCTTCCTTTGGCGCTTAAGAAAACACCTACAGTGGTACCTCGGGTTACAGACGCTTCAGGTTACAGACGCTTCAGGTTACAGGCTCTGCTAACCCAGAAATAGTACCTCGAGTTAAGAACTTTGCTTCAGGATGAGAACAGAAATCGCACGGCGGCAGCAGGAGGCCCCATTAGCTAAAGTGGTACCTCAGGTTAAGAACGGTTTCAGGTTAAGAACGGACCTCCGGAACGAAATAAGCTCGTAACCCGAGGCACCACTGTACTGGTTTTCATCCGCGTCTCAGCAGGTTTGTGAATCAGACCTGAGATTTGGTTTTTATCCTTGGTTGGACTGATGTTCATATATCCTAACTGACTCTTCCAACCGGGTCATATTCCTTCCATCGCAACGTCGTAGTGGTTGGAAGCTGAACACGTGTTGTGTTGTTCTCCCACGTCGCTTGTAGTGGGAACGCGAGACCACACTCACGCGCACGGCGACGGTGACCATAACTAACCCCGTGAAGTTAGATGTTAGGGGACGGCTGAGGAAGGCCCGGGTGTCCCTCTCCCTTAGTAGGAGGGCTGAAACCCCTGTAGAGGCTGCCTAGATCAGAGATATTCGTGGGGGTGGCATCCGGAATGCTTGGCTATCAGTTTTTCTTTTCTTTTACGTCGTTTTCTCCCTCCCCCTTTTACTCGCAGGAATAGAAGGGAAAGCATGCAGGCAGCAGTGTTTGTATACAACTGCTCACCAAGAAGTAATACAGTGGAAGAAGATTTAAAATTACATCAGGCCAGGACACATTTTGAAGAAACGCGCATTTGCCATCCAAAGACAGCGGTTGCGCTTAAGATCCTTAATTCCACAGCCTTAAAATGACCTAACTCGGGTCCGCAGAAAGAAGGCCCATTGCTCCTCGATCTGTTTGCACGCCTCTCTGCGAGTCCCTGTCACGTGTAAATGCATAGGATCCTCTTTGCTCCCGAAAACGACGGCGCCGGTCAAACATCGCCTCTGCCTTGGTCAGAGATGGGTGACACCTGGCTTGAGAGCAGTACATGTGAAAAGGATCTAGGAGTCTTGGTTGACCACAAACTTGACATGAGCCAACAGTGTGACGCGGCAGCTAAAAAAGCCAATGCAATTCTGGGCTGCATCAATAGGAGTATAGCATCTAGATCAAGGAAAGTAATAGTGCCACTGTATTCTGCTCTGGTCAGACCTCACCTGGAGTACTGTGTCCAGTTCTGGGCACCACAGTTCAAGAAGGACACTGACAAACTGGAAGGTGTCCAGAGGAGGGCAACCAAAATGGTCAAAGGCCTGGAAACGACGCCTTATGAGGAACGGCTAAGGGAGCTGGGCATGTTTAGCCTGGAGAAGAGGAGGTTAAGGGGTGATATGATAGCCATGTTCAAATATATAAAAGGATGTCACATAGAGGAGGGAGAAAGGTTGTTTTCTGCTGCTCCAGAGAAGCGGACACGGAGCAATGGATCCAAACTACAAGAAAGAAGATTCCACCTAAACATTAGGGAGAACTTCCTGACAGTAAGAGCTGTTCGACAGTGGAATTGGCTGCCAAGGAGTGTGGTGGAGTCTCCTTCTTTGGAGGTCTTTAAGCAGAGGCTTGACAACCATATGTCAGGAGTGCTCTGATGGTGTTTCCTGCTTGGCAGGGGGTTGGACTCGATGGCCCTTGTGGTCTCTTCCAACTCTATGGTTCTATGATTCTATGGTCTGTCTGCTCTGTGCCTCGGTATTATGAAACCACAAGGCAAAGACACTTTCGCGCCTTGGCTTTTGACCGTCAGGTTTGAAAACGGGGCCGGATTTTCTTTTGCACACTGGAGGAGCCCGTTCGTTAGGGGCTGAACTGAATCCGGTTCTTCTCATCTTTCTGGATCTTTCAGAAAGTGCCCTTAAGCCAGAGAAAGGCAGGCCCAAGCGCCGTGCCTGTGTATCACGCAGTGGTCACAGTTTAGCAATTTAAGACCACATGGACTTAAAGGCAGTAGGTGAGTGTTGGGGCGGATCTTTCCCTTTTCGACGACTTCAAGAGGTGAGACCCCTCCTGCACACTCTGCAAAGCGGGCCCTGGACGACTTCTGTCCCCCCCCCCCCCATCTTTTTCTGAAAGCGCCACTGCATAGGAGCCACCACTTAGGGGCAGCTGGCCCTTCGCTCCCCAATAAAATATTTTGAGGGGGCCAGTTCCCTACAAGTTGATGGGCACTGCCAGTCAAACGGTGCGTGTGTCTTGTGATCAGCGCCCCCCCATTTTTTTATTCAAGTTGGCACCATTACACCACTTTGCGTGTGGATATAATATGCATATGGAGAGACAATCTCTACCCCCTCCCCTCGGCCGGTGCAACGAATTGTCCCACCCGATCTGGTACTTTTCCCCACTTTATTTTGGTCCTCGTGATGCCTTCAGAGAAGCTGCTGCAATGAATGTCCTGCCAGCAAAAAATGTCTCGACTTGGAACGGACTTCTTATTGACAAGGCAGCTGCGTGGGGACCGGAACGCGACTCTTTAGAAAGGCGTCTCTCTCTCTCTCTCTCTCTCTCTCTCTCTCTCTCTCTCTCTCTCTCTCCACACACACAAAATTATATGCCCCAACATACCCCAAAGTCTATAACAGATGCGCAAAATATTTTCCCCCTCCTATTAGCAGAGAGAGGTTGGAAAGCTTCCCCCACCCCCGGGAAAAAAATGCCTCTCTCAAAGAGGTGTTTGCTAAATGGATGTTTACCGCGGCTAATGCTTTTAAAATAAGGACAGGAGGGATTTTTTTTTTTAAAGTCTTCTTTTTAAAAAAGAGGCCAAAGGTCTGACAGATTATACCTGCAGGACTGGCGGGCGAGGCGAAAGACAGATCTGAACCAAATTGGTGGAGATAACTCTCTCTCCGGCCTGACAGCTATTTGTCTGCTGCCACCAACCCCCTCAACCCGCTTCCCTCCCCTGGGATCCTTTTCAAACGTCTGAGAAGCAAACACGGGATTTATCATTCTGTAGCTCCGCGCTGGACGAGATGAGGATTCTCTTTAAAGGGCCGGTTATAAATATATCAGCAGAGCTCACATGCTATCTAGCAGCAGTCGGCTACGAACAACGCTCTGGATCTCTCTCTCTCTCTCTCTCTCTCTCTCTCTCTCTCTGTGTGTGTGTGTGTGTGTGTGTGTGTTGTGTGTTTGTGGATAACCCTCCAACACTTACACCCACATCCCCAAAACATTTATATCCGGCTCTGCAGAGAATACTTGGCAGTTTAAAGTCCGCTTTTGGTTTCTTTCCGGGCTGATTTTCGCCTAACTCGTTCTGGACGCAAGAGCGGTGTTCCTTGCGAGTAAACAATTCATTTCAATGTAGTTTTGCGCTCAGTTATGTCTCATTTCTGTTGCAAATCATTCTGTTTCTGCTGCAATCGCCGACGAGCCAGAAAAAGTGATATTTGCTTCCTAACGCGGAGATTAAATAATTCGCTTTTATAAACAAGAGAACGTAGAGACCGAGAGCTTTCCTGCGCCACAAGGGGGTCTCTAACCTGATGCCGGGAGTCCTGCTCCCGAGAGCTAACTGCGGACGGTCATCATCACTTGCTATGTTTTATAAAAACCAGTCCCTTTCACTTCTCCAAATCAGACCGCAAAAAAGGCTGATATGGAATCGCGTTGCAAATTTACCAACTAGCCGAAAGGAGAAGCGCATCGCCCTGACGTCCCTCCCGGTGGGTGGTTTGGAGAAAAACCTTTGCGGCGTTGTTGTTTTTCATTGAGCCTTTTCAGAGAAAAGAATTTGCTATAAATAATCATTTGAAACATCGGGTCACCCGACTGTTGTCTTATTACTCCGCAGGCGCATTTTCCGCGGAGTCTGTTTACAAAAACAGCGTTTCTATGCGCCGCTAAGGAGAATGCGCGCGCGCGCCGACTAGATCCTCTCCCTGGCGTCCACGTGTACGGCGCCAACGTCTGAAAGGAGCGAGCCTCCGCGTGGAAGTCCGCGCGCACCGGGCGGGGGGGGGGCTCCCTCCGGGTGCCAGATAGAAAGCCTATTCGGCGTGGTCCCGCTCCCTGCTCTCTTGTTCTTCTCAAAGATAAGTCTAAACGCCTGAAGAGGAGGCAGGATCCCATCCACACCTCTGCACGTCTTCGCAGAAGTAGTAAGCCCTACCGAATTTAATGGGATTTGCTCCCGAGTAATTGTGCATAAGTTCAGGACCAGTGCTCCTCTCACAGTGCATGATTAATGGGAAGGTCTGATAAATAAAATAAAATACAGGAGAGCCTCGGATTCTAAGCATGTTTACTTGGAAGTAAACCCGACTGGCAGGAATTGTTTTCTGCCACGAACATCGTGAGCAATTTCCCCCTGAAATGCAAGTGGCATTACAATCACATCAGACAAGCTAGTTTAGGTGTAATAGGCTGGAGTGCTAATGAAATATACAAAGTCCCATATAAAATATAAACATTTTAAGCGACAGACGCTACTCAGCAGCTGTTTGTGTGTGTGTTCAACACCTTAAATTATTGCACAAAACAGCTTATACTTGTGCTATATTAAGACAGTTTACACGTCCAAAAAATTCTATTGATATGACCCCCCCCCCATTTAAAGGCTTTTGCCTGACCGTTCAATCCTATACGCGCTTATGCACTGTGTAAACTGGGACATTTACTCCGAGGTAAGTGTGGCACAATAACCCCCTTCTACTCAGAAGTCGCATTGAGTTTATTTCACTCAGGTAAGTACAGGTCAGGACTGCATCCTTAGCCTCCACGCCAGATGATGCCAAGCCCAATAAACCCAGTGTACCCAGTTTGTGAACAGAGGACTGTTCTATATAAACACACACACATACACACACACACACACACACACACACACACACTTTACACGTCGATCCTACTAAGCACACGTAGGGAGGACAAACTCTGTTGAATTCAGGGGAGTTTTCTCCTGAATAAATAAACATCCACAGGATGGGATCTTTATGAATGGACGCTGGATTTTTATTTTAAAAAAAACAACCCAAAAAACAAACAAAACAGGAACCTCCGTGGGGCGTAAGTGGCAGAATTTTGTGGACAATCCGAAGGCTGCTACCTTCGAAAATCGATTTGCAGCGTGAAATTGAACTGTCCACGGGTATAAGGCACGCATCTGTGGTTTGGACGGAGGGGTGGGGGTGGGGGTGGGAGAGGCTGGCGAGAAATTTGCCCACCTTTCGGGCCTGGCTTCTTCCAAATGCAAAAAGGTAAACAAGACGTTATTGGTGCGCGGCCTGAGGGAAAGAGCCCAGGGCAGACTGGTTTCTGGGGAATGATCGGCGCTGCTCCTTAATTAATTAAAGCAGAAAAAAGGATCTGCAGAATGCGGCCAGTTATAAGTGCGGCCAGTAACCCAAAACTCCAGCGATTTCCGACCCTGGAGACGCGAAGGAAACCCAAAACCGAGCCCATTAGCAAATGAGTTTTCTGTCGTGGACGGCTTCGTTCCCATCCACTTGCCGCTCTGAAAAATAGATCACATTTCGTTATCTTTAGTGGGAATCTGCAACGTGATACCGGATCTCACCCTCTCTGAGCTGCTAAGCGCAGAGGAAAGAGAACGAGAGAGAGACGCAGGGAGGGAGCGAGAGAGAAAAAGAAGGAAAGAAAGGAGGGGTGCGGAGGGTTGGCTTATTTCTAAACAATAAAGGACTTGTCTTCTCTCTCTCACAACCCCTTTAGCTCTCTTTTTTCCTGCTTTCCTCCCTCTCTGCGCTTCCTCCTCCCCTGAAAAATCAAAACCACTGAAAGAGAAGAGGGGCGCTATTTTGGAGACGCGTCCACCGCGCCGACGCTGAAAAGCGTTTCGTGCAAAAAGGCGTCTGAAAGGAGGGAGAGGAAGAAAAACCCCGAAGGAGGCTCGGGGGACCGGCTGGCCATCGCTGCCCTCCAGACACCTGTGAAAACAAAGCGGGTGTCACCCTGCGAGCTCTGGAGGAGCCCAGGAAAGAGGGGAGCGTCGCCAGGAAGCCCGCGGTCGCTCCTCCAGATGTTTGTGGACCGCAACGCGCATCAGGCCCGGCTGGTCAAAGAGGACAGGGAGAAGCGGAGGCTAACAACATCTGAAGGGCCACAGGCTCCCGGCCTTGTAGTGAAAGATGCGCCTTTTCAAGCTCTTCCCAAAACGCCCCGCGTAACGCCATTCCCACGCATTCCGCGCGTCGCGTTTTGCAATCAAACCACAAGGAAACAACTCATGGGAGAGGAGAGGTTTCTTCCAGAAAGCCAGACCGTGTGCAAGTAGGACTAGGACCTGGAAGAAAATGATGGGCTATAAAGGCAATTAATAGATGCAATAAATCCCTGCATTGCAGGGGGTTGGACTAGATGACCCTTGGGGTCCCTCCCAACTCTAAGATTCTAGGAAATATATGTGTGTGAGAGTAGAGGACATAGCTGTCAACTTTCCCCTTTTCTTGCGAGGAATCCTATTCGGAATAAGGGAATTTCCCTTTAAAAAGGGAAACGTTGACAGCTATGGTGGTTGTGCGCCCCGTATGTGTTTCAGCGGCTCAAGGGCAGGAGATGAGCGGCTGCTCTGGTTGCAGTCCTCGTGTTCAGACGCGTGTTCAGGAACGAACGTCTGAACGAAGTGCGGGAGCCTTCAGGAGCACCGGCTTCCACGCACTCTGGGATACAGAAGGAAGGCTCCCTCGTCGCCACCTATACTAACCGGTAAGGCAGAACAAGCCAGATGTCAGCGCCTAGGGGTACCAACTTGAATAAAATATTGGGGCAGCGGGGGGCAAGGAAGTCCTGCCCCGCGCAATCAATCACGCAACGCGGTGCACGGGCACCATGTGAATGGGAATACCCATCAACTTGGGGGGAGACCCTCCCCCTCAAATATTTTATTGCCCCCTAGCAGTTGGCTCACATGGTGAGCGCTGAATAGTTACCCCCGCCTACAGCAGTAACGTCTGAAGGCAAAGGAGCACTCGCGTGTACAGGATTCCAGATTCCACGCAGGCTCCCTCCGTTCAGACGTTACATGCAGGAGCTAGAGGGGAGGGGAAATGTTGCTGGTCAGCGGCGCCTTCTCCACTTGCCGGTTCTCCTCAACTGTGAAGTCTGAAGGAGGGTTAAGTTAGTAACTTGCCCCAGGACGCATCCCGAGTTCGTGGCAGAGGGGAGAGCTGAGCTCGAGTCCAGAGACTTCAAAAAATCTGTTACCGCCACCGCTTCACTGAGGTGCTTTTCCCGGTAGTCAGTGGGTAGAAAAGCCCCTGAGGGTTTTCGCAGAAATCCCAGGCAACAGAGAACATTTCAGGTTTTTAAAATAAAGCGCGAGCGGCCCCGTCCTTTCTCCCTTACAGCAAAACCCCAGCCCCTGTTCCAAGGGGCCTTCCTCTTGCCAGAATTCAGGACTGCGACCTTTTTAAACGGGATATGAGGTTCGGGATGACAAAGCATCCAGTCTCCCGGCTGGAAAGTCAGTATGGAACATCGTAGAATTGTTGGAAGGGACCCGAGGGTCATCTAGTCCAACCCCGCAACGCAGGAATTTCAACTGAAGCATCCATGGAAACTGCCTTATATACTGCATCAGACAATTGGTCCCCTTTGGCCAGTATTATCGACACTGACTGGCAGCGGCTGGTCGGGTTTCAGGCAGGAGATGCCGGGGATCGAACTGGGCACCTTCTGCCCTCCAAGTCCGATCCTAAGCAGGCTGGCTTGGGAAGGGAGCCAGCCAATCCTCAGACAGTCAGGTGGGCGGGGCTGGGGCTTAAATCCCCTGAAATACGAAGCCCTGTGGGTTTGTTCTCCGGCTTGGGATAGACATCTCTCTCTCCCCACTGACCCCATCCCGCCCCATGGTGGCGTCTGGCATCTTGCAGAGGAGCTGCAAGCCGCGTTCGATTAGGGGTTAGACTAGATGACCCTCTGCCCCCTCTTCCAGCTCTACAGTTTTGTGATTCTATGCCTTCGGAAAACAGCAATGAACCAGCTTCCCTGATGAAAATGGGACTTAATTTTGGTGTCACTACCCAGCGCTCTCTCTCTCTCTCTCTCTCTCTCTCTCTCTCTCACACACACACACACCTGAGAAACATGCAAGGCTGCCACTGACGCGAGTTCCCACAAACTCTCAAAGAAGCAGCGGTTCCCACGATTAAGGTCATGTTGCACACAAAAGTCCCCTCCGCTAAATAGCCACTAAAACGTGTTGTCTCCCCACCACATGGGTTATAAATGATCATGTGATTCTCCCTCCCATCTCTTTTACTCCCCTAAACCTAAAAACGCTTCCTTTTGGAATCGCTCCCCTCCCACTGAAATCTTGTTTTACTTCCGTGCACAGGAAGCGGGGCACGATCCAACTCTCTCTCTCTCTCTCTCTCTCTCTCTCTCTCTCTCTCTGAAGTGTATTACACACATATGGGGGGGAGCATCATTTCCCCTGCAAAATGTCGATATATTCTCATTGATTTCCAGGGGGCGAGGTCTACACGCGCACATTCCAGGCTGTAAAATGAAGTCGCGCTTACCAGGGAAAAGTTCAGCCCCACTGGACACAGTGGGGGGTTATTCCTCACAGCCAAATAAATATGCCGCCGCCTGGGCGCTCCCTCCCCCGCCAGTTTCAAGGAATGTGCTTAAACAGGGCTGGATCCGCGCGTCCTCTGCTTGCCGGAACCGGAGCGAAAACAGGAGCCAGTCCGGATCAAACGTCAATCAGACGAGCTCCACAAAACGGGGACGCGGAGACTTGGAGACCAGGTAATAGGGCACGTGCCCCCCCCCGTTGCTCCCCCCCCTCCCACTGCCCAGATTTCCGTCCTCCGCCCACGTTATTCCTCCTCTCTTTCTTTCAGAGGTTTCAATCATCGTGAAAATCAGCCAAGGGCGCAGCACCAGCGCTCCCTCCGCCTCCTCCGCCTCCTGCGCCACTAATGTACATCCTGGATGCTGAAGTCTGTCTAAGCTAAAAAGAATTTCCTTTTTGGAGGAGAAAGCCTCCAGCTCCTTCTGTTCAGAGGAAAGTGCCAGTGATGTTAATGCGGGGTGACACTAAATAAACAGTTAAGTTCGCTTTGGAAAGATGGAGTTCATTATCCAGTGAGCTGCAGTTAAAGCCAGACCAGGCGGGGCCGGTTTGTTTTGGCGCAAGGCGCACAGCAGACTTGCCTCTCTCTCTCTCTCTCCGGAGCCAGCGAGCAACCTCCGATTCCCCCTCCTGCTCCGCTTCTAAAACACACCACTTCTTCTCCTCCTTCAAACTTTCGTAATTAGGTCATTGGAGGAAGGGGGATTAAAACGGCCGTATTGTAACATAAACGGACAGTTTCAAATACAGTAGGTAGATATACAAAATCACCAAATTTTGTGTGACTCCGCTTTTTTTTTTTTTTGGAAGAACTCTGCTCCGAATTAACCCGCGATTTGCGTTCCGACTTGCCCTCGAAGAAGCGGAGATGTTATTCCAGGCGGCGAGTCGCAAAGAGCGTGTGGATCGCGCCTCTGGTCCCCCGCGCGGCATCCAAAGCACGTCTCTTTGGAAAGAAATCCCCGACTGGGAGTGATTCCCCCCCACCAAGTGGGGCTTACTTCCGAGTAGACACGCACAGGGCAGGTTGCTCGGTCTCAGTGCTCACTTAGCTTGTGGTGGGAGAAGGAGCCCCATCGAGTCAGGTGGGTTTTTCTGAGAAAAACTAATTTGAACTGGAGGGATACCCAGCCCGATCTCCTATACGTGTTTACTCAAAAGTAAACCCAATTTTAAGAGCTGGTGGAGCGTGTTCTTCTTAGGAAAGCCTGCCAAGGAGTGCAGGGGTTGTAAACACGCGTTTCCTGCTGCAATCCACGCTTACCTGGAGGCAAAGCTCCATTCAGCTCAATGGGATTTCTAAATAGAAACACTCGAGACTGCGCTGCAAAGTGAAAGGAGATTTTAAAATTTGCCTGGATCGTATCCTACGTCTTCTTTTTTTATTTAAAGCGACTTCACTCTCGCATCCCGTATGCCAAATTCGTTTACCTGGAAGCAAATCGCCATTGAAAGCAATAGGGTTCGTCTCCAAGTCCGTGCGTTTCCGAATCGGGGCCCCCTCTCCGACTTCGCAGCAAGAAAGAAGCCGGGAACTTGTCACCTGAGACCGCAATCCTGTATTTACTTGCCTGGAAGTAAGTCCCAGTGAGTTCAACAGGGCTTGCTTCTGAGTAGGCAGGTATAGGATTGCACTGCGCCTCGGCTAAGTTTCCGGGCAGTTCAGAGCCTCACCGCACCAGTAGGAAATCTCAACAGACGCTTAATTAAAATAGCAATCCCCTTTGTGTTTTTTTAAAAGCCTACCTAAAAGGCTTCATTCCAACCCCTTTAATTTATATTTTCTCCACTATAATTTCCCCACAGGGCTCTGAAAAGAATTCCAAACCCTTGGCATAATAAGTGGATTGTACGGATCTTTTCTACTTTCCTCAAACACAATTTGCACAACAAGAAAAGAGGAGAGCCGCTCTCGGTAACATAAACCTCTCGGATTGGAAAAGGAAGAGGAAGAATAAGGAGGAATAAGCTAAGAGGCGGAGAGCGCGAGACGCGAAAGAACAATCGCCGGGTGCCCCTCTTTCCGGGTCATTACGGTACTGCTGGTCTCCAATCAATCCTAATGCGATGGCAATTGGAGTCCCCGATGAACGCATCTCAGGTTTCGTGTAATGGCTCTACCACATTTTCCTGGACCCCCTTCTTTAACCTGAGATGCCAGGGGGACGAGTCTCTTTTCAGCTGCTGATTGCTTCAAGATGTGGGGACTTGGGGGGGGAGGGGAGCGAGAAAGTCTTGGGATAGCCAGAAACTGTTTGTTGTTAGTCTAAGCTGTTTATTTAATCAACAGAACAAAGCAGATTTTTCTCTCTTCTTCCATTTCTTTCTGCAACGCTCCCTCCATCTGTTCGGGATTCGGAATTCCGCCTCCCACTTGAGCCAAGTTTCCAGTTTTATAATACTGGGCTGCTGTCTCTGTTTACTAACAAACAGATCACTTGGAAAGGACTAAGGATTTATTCTAGCCAGAACCTACAGAGGCTGATTATGATTATGATATTTACAAACCACTTAAGGTCAAAACAGACTTCTAAATGGTTTGCGAAATAAATCTTTTTTTTTTTTTAACCAGTTCATACAAACCTTAGAATGGAATCTGCAATATAATAATCCCATTATTTGACCCCAGAAAATTGTGAAGGTTTTTTTTTATGTGCAGAGTGCCTATGCCAGCAGTAGCCCAAGACGTTTCCGCACCTGAAACCAAGCGTCACAATGATTTCTTAATATTTCTTATTTATTTGTTATATGTATATCCACCCCCATCCTTGGATCAAGTTACTACAAAAGTTTTTATTTATTTTTGTTCTCTTACATATATAAAAAGGAGTGTTCATATCCCACACTTTCATTGTAAAAACCATGCATTGGGGACTCACATCAGATATTTTAAAGAAATGATAAGGAATCATACATATTATGATGTAGATTCAGTATCTGTCGGGTTGCACAGAATGCGGTACTGTGCCATACACAGCCCTATGCAGGGGGAGTAATGAATACATAAGAATCTACAGTTTCAGTAATAAGTACTAGTGTTACTATTATTTTACTTTTACTTTGGTCTTATTTAAACATTTATTTGTTAAAATGATTTACTTCCCACTTTGAGAAAACATTCCCTCCCCAAAGAAACCTGCAAACAAAAGTAATAAACACATGACAATAATGAAATGGGGGGAAATGGATTAAAACAGATCAATTCATATTTTTTTCATACTCGCATGTACTTCTGCAGAATGCCAGAATAATACCTGCAAAATAATTAATTATCAATGCAAATATGGGCAGAGAGGCAAGTATGTTTATTGAGGGAGAATAATGTGAAATGTGGTGAAGAACTTCATTTGTTCCAGTTTCCTTTCTCTTTTTGTTTTATCCTTATTTTTTTTCTTGAAGCTATGCTTATTGTAAATAAATGTTTTTGTAAAAATAGGGTGTTTTTGTTTTTTGGGGGGAATAACAGCGAGTCAAAAACAAATCGAATATTGATTTCTAGAGAGGGCAGAGGAGAGGGAGACAGACAGCAGCATCACTGAATGCAAGAAGAGAGCAATAAAAAGCAACAAATTGTAAAATGCCGGACAGGACTGAAAAGAGTTTCAGTGCTAGTTTCAAAGCAGGAGGAGAGAGAGGCTTCCAACCGGAGGGAATTATGCAAGTGTGGTGCCAACACTGAAAAGGTCCTGTCTGGGAGAGCTCATTGGTACAGCATCCGCTTTGAATTCAGGTTCCAGGCTGAACCCCCAACATCCTCAGGTACAGCTAGCAAACACTCCTTTTCTAAAATTCTGGAAAGCCAATGCCCATCAGTGCAGTAACTGGTCTTGAGCTGGGTGGACCGATGCCTACTAAATCAATGTCTACTGATTTAAATAAAGAGATGCACTGACATGAAAAAAACAACAACCCTGCAGGCGTGAAAAGAGTAGCCCCTGAAGAAAAAGCTTCCCCTAGCAACAGCTTCAAATTATTTTCATGGTAAAGGTAAAGGTAAAGGGACCCCTGACCGTTAGGTCCAGTCGCGGATGACTCGGGTTGCGGCACTCATCTCACTTTACTGGCCGAGGGAGCCGGCGTACAGCTTCCGGGTCATGTGGCCAGCATGACTAAGCCGCTTCTGGTGAACCAGAGCAGGGCACGGAAACGTCATTTACCTTCCCTCCGGAGTGGTACCTATTTATCTACTTGCACTTTGACGTGCTTTTGAACTGCTAGGTTGGCAGGAGCAGGTACAGAGCAACGGGAGCTCACCCCGTCGCGGGGATTCGAACCGCCGACCTTCTGATCGGCAAGTCCTAGGCTCTGTGGTTTAACCCACAGCGCCACCCGCGTACCTTTCATGGTAGGAAGCACAAAATGGGGGTGCTCATCAAATGACACCAAACTGGAAGGGGCAGCTAATACCGCAGAAGTTAGAATCAAGAGTCAAGAGGACCTTAACAGATTGGAGAACTGGACCCAGACTAACAAAATGAATTTCAGTGGGGACAATTGTAAGATTCTGCACTTAGGCAGGAAGACCCAGATGCATAAACAGAAGATGGGGAACACCTTGCTTACTAGTGGGGGGCAGTGGGGTTATTTGGTTTGTTTTTGTTTTAATTTTGGTTATGTATTAATGTATTGTGTATTAATGTATTTAATTTTTGATGATGATGATGATGATGAAGTAAAGGATCTAGGGGTCTTGGTGGACCACAAGCTTAACATGAGTCAACAGTGTGATGCAGCAGCAAAAAAGGCAAATTTTATTCTAGGCTGCATCAACAGAAGTATAGCATCCAGATCAAGGGAAGTCATAGTACCACTTTATTCCGCCTTGGTCAGACCACACCTGGAATACTGTGTTCAGTTCTGGGCACCACAGTTTAAGAAGGATGTTGATAAGCTGGAAGGTGTGCGGAGGAGGGCGACCAAGATGATCAAGGGTCTGGAAACCAAGGCTGATGAGGAACGGTTGAAGGAGCTGGGTATGTTTAGCATTGAAAAGAGGAGACTGAGAAGAGATATGATAGTCATCTTCAAATATCTCAAGGGCTGTTATATGGAAGATGGAGCAAGCTTGCTTTCTCCTGCTCCAGAGGGTAGGACCCGAACCTATGGATTCAAGTTACAAGAAAGGAGATTCTGGCTGAACATTAGGACAAATTTTCTGATGGTAAGAGCTGTTCACCAGTGGAACGGATTCCTACAGGAGGTTGTAGACTCTCCTTCATTGGAGGTGGGATGGCCAGCTGTCAGGGACTATTTAGCTGAGATTATTGCATTGTAGGGGGTTGAGCTAGATGGCCTTTGGGGATCCCTTCTAACTCTACCAATTCTATGCAATCTATGCTAGGGAGAG